ATCATCATAATCATAACACATAGGCGGAAGTACCTAGACAAGAGCCTCCTAGAGTAGGAACGATAAGGGCTCTAGCCACAAGGCTGATTGAGAAAGAAAGAAATGAATTGTGTGCCTTGGATTCCTCGGAAGTAAGAGCAAGGAGAAGAAGGAAGCGTCAAAAGTCATTGGAGAATATATTCGTAGGAGAGATTGCAGAAGTTGTACACTCAAGAAGTTCAATATTCCATCTCCAGAGTTCTGCAAAGGGAGGTCAGATCAATTTAACCACATGACGTCCTTTGAATCGGACTTCTGTCTATTACGAGTAAGCGATGCTATGAAATGTTAATTTTATCTAAACTGACACAAGGATCTTCATGATGCTAAAGGAATCAGCTTTGCGATGGTTCAACAACTTGCCTACGGGAGTGTTCACCTCGTTTGGAGAATTCAAATGCATATTTGTAGCACATTTTGCTAGTGCTTAGAAGCCGCAAAAGAATTCCCAAACCCTTCTGAAGGTCAATCGATGGTCTTCATAAAGCCTCAGAAGCTTCATCACTCATTTCCAACAGGAAATGCTAAATGTTAGAGACTAGGAGCTCGCCGTTCCTTATGCAACACTAGCTCAAGGCCTACGCGAGGGCCCATTTTGATATGTAATTAGCTTATAAAAGCCAAGGACCTTAGTTGAGCTCTTGGAGCTGGCTAGCAAGCACATTTCGACTGAGTACTACAAGTCTTTGCCTAGTGCATCATAACCCAAGGAGTTGGAAAGCAAACCCCGAAGGCGACTACAAGTCTTTGCCTAATGCATCAAAACCCAAGGAGTTGGAAAGCAAACCCCGAAGGCGACCACTAGGAGATTGAAGGGATTTGAGAAGTTGATTTATCTAGAGGGATCCTCGGAATCCCCTAAAAGGCAATTCCGCCAACATGAACATGAATCTCTGGGGAAACAACTAATCAGGGGAAGGCCAAAAGGGAGACAGGGACACCTCTGTTCTCTCAGACAGAAATAACTCCGTTAAGTGTATCCATGGCCGAAGTTGTTGAGACCATCCAAAATTAAGAATTATTTAAGTAGCCCTTGCTGATGCTAGCAGAAAGTCATCACTATGGGCCGAACGGGTATTGCGTTTGCTATCGAGATCACATACAAAACCTCATTGAGGAATTATTAGAGCGGGAAAATTGAAAGAATTTATAGCCCCGGAAGCGAACACCCTTGAATAGTACACATCACTGACGCCATGCCTGGTATCTTCGGAGTAAATGGAATTGAGGCCTCACGATGATCCAATTTGAAGCGATTCAAGAAAAAAAAAATTACCTCAACCACTATAGCCAGGTCATCGACCTCGGTCCATCCTCCTATCATTTTTACGGATGCCGATCTACTCATTGACAAAAATCCATTTAATGATGCCATTGTGGTCACTGCGACAATCTCAAGCTATCAGATTAGTGGTATCTTAGTGGACACAAGAAGCTCCGTCAACTTTTTGTTCAAGAGAGCTTTTAAGAAGATGGGCTTAGTCAATGCCCAACTTGCACCTACCTCTAGTGTTCTCAGGAGAAAGAAAAAAGACGCGTGGAATGATTTTCTGGTCGATAACTTAGGGGAAGGATATAGGCAACACACCACATCTACTAATTTTGTTGTGATGGATAGGCCGGTACAACACCATGTTCGATAGACAGGTACTCAACACTTTCAAGGCCGTGACTTCGACTTATCATGTGTTTCTTGTTAGAGGACGGATCATCAATGCCCGAGGAGACTTAATCTAATCTAAGACTTGTTACTTGCGAGCTGTGGAGAACACACAAGAAAACTTACTATAGGTTGGTACTAATAAAGGCAACATCATAGAGGCTACCAAGATCATAGAACAAGTGCTTGTTTTCGAGGAGGAAACACATTAACTTCTCCAAATTAGCTTCTGGTTCAACGGCGAAGACCGAAATCAACTGATTACAATCTCAAGGAAACTCTTTTATTTCTCTTTAAAGCGTGTTTAATTGTGACCACCTATTTGCTTTCAATAATAATACTTGCCTTTCTTACTATTGTTTATTTGCTTTCAATAATAATATTTGTCTTTCCTACTATGGTTTATGTTAACTCTGGTATCATTCATCTAGCTTGCTTTACATGAAATCAAATGACTTCTAGCTAATATTAAAGCTCGGGTCATATAAGCTAGAGATTTGATCGTTCACTGCCTTAGGTTTAAAGCCTTATTTGTGCATGTTTAATCAGTTTGATCTTGGCATGAACAGTAGTTCAGAGTAGACGCAGGGCTACCTGAGATTTGAACCGGCTGAGCCACTTGGATTGGTTCAAGCAAGTGGTTACTAGGGCCGGCTAACTCCTTTTTTGTGGGCTAGGGTTGCCATCTAAGGGGAGGGGCCTCCCCATTCTAGTTATCCGTTATATATATTCATTATTTTCTGTTCTAGGGTTAGTTTTTTTTTTATTTTTGAGATTTCAGTTTGGACAACCTCCGACATCCCCTCTTCCCTTTCTATGGCTGTATCCGACGACGAGAAGGCACTCATGTTGTAACTTGTTCGAGGTGATGTATATCTTATCCTTTTCTCCTTGCTACCATTTTGCCTGTATCCCTCCCTTTCCCGGTTTCCGAGCTGCAAACCCCTCCAAACTTCTAGACAACCACAACAATTCCCTTTTCCCATCTTACTGCTGTTGAACCCTCCTTATCTTTCCAATGTTGCTGTCCTTCCAGCTAACCCACCTTGCCCCCTTTTATGTTAGACCCAACCACAACTATCACCTGCAATCCTTCCTCCCGCTGCCACCGAGAACTAGGCCGGCCTCCCTTTGTCATTAGCCAACCCATCCCTTTATCCGCCCATCCCTTCTTCCCCCTCCACAACCACGCTGTTAAAATACCTGGCCATCCCACCACAATCAGCCTTCCTTGCTGCCCTGACAGCCTCCCTACTACCAATAACAAACCCCAACAACCCATCCCTTTATCCCCCTCCACAACCACGCCGTTAAAATACCTGGCCGTCCCACCACAATCAACCTTCCTTGCTGCCTTGACAGCCTCCCTACTACCAATAACAAACCCCAACAACCACTTTTTAATCTCTCAAATCAGAACATCTCCACCTCAAGTTGTACCCTAGTTTGTGTTGTGTCCTTGTTTCCTTTTTATTCAAGTATTTTGTTTGTAGTCTTTTTGAATTTTAGAAATACTATTTGCATTTTTGTGGTGGTTTGGGTTAATGCTGTATCAGAAGTGGTCACTCCTAAGATTAAGGATGGTGTGGGAAAACTTTATGGAGGCAGGCTTTGAAGAACAATATTGTAATTTGTAATATACTAATATTACTTTTGATTTAATTAAAGGTTTATTTGCTTCGTGTTTTAGGGTTTTTTTATAAGCACTTATGAATGGGTAATTATAATGCTTATGTTACACCTTCAAATTTAATTTTGATAAATTCTATGAGATTTATTAGAACATCTTAAAGCAAACAGTGTATATAATGATATTTATTGCAAACATATGAGTCACGGACGCAGACACAGATACACGGATACAACACAACACGATACGTGGACACGACATAATTGGAAAAGATAGGACACGACACGCCTATATAAAACATATATTTTTTCATTATTCTTTATTAAAATTACACAACACAAATTATGCAAGAATAAAATTTAACTTCATAAATTTAATTTATATTATAAAAGTTCATGTTTGTGAATATAGTTCTTAAAATTAGATATAATATGTTTCAAAAGAATTCATCCAACTTATCTACTAAAATCTAAAAGGTCCTATGCTTATAAAGAGGGAATTTCTAAAGCTTGTCTTCGATGAATATTGGATACATCTTCGATGCTCAATTTTTTTGAATGTTAGAGGGAGGTTCAACGTGAAGAGAGATGTGACAGTTTTGACTTTGAGGTATAATTAAGGTTATACTTATATTTATAATTTTCTAATTCTCGTGTCCCACTTTATCGAAATCGTGTCGAACTCAATTGAGGTGTGTCTCAGATGTGTTCGGGTCTGAAAAAAATTATGACATATTTTGTAGTATCGGGGCGTGTCGGGTAAGTATCGGTGTCTGATACATGTCCAACAGGAGTACGACACATTTTTAAAAGTATAGTTGCTACATTGTTTCAAATTCATTCCAAACTACTGTGACATTTTTTTTATTGAAAAATAAACGATATCACTTATGTTTTGTGAGGCCTGCTTGCTATCTAATTCTCACACTACTGAAAAACTATGATGATCTGTCAGAGATGCCCACATTAAAGGTACAACAGGTCTCCTGTTTTCATGGATATGTCATAGCTCAGAAATTCTGTCTAAATCAAGAAAAGGAAGATTTCAAATTACTGCCACAGTTCCATTGTGAAATCTTGTACTCAGTAGAATATGGACTTCCTTGTGGTTGCAAATGATGCGTGCAACTCTATAATCTATTATTCATTTTCACGTCCTGTGGGATATATGTGATTAAGTTTGTTTGAAACTTAGGATTTTATCCTCTTAATTCTAGATGGTTGAGATTATCCAAGCTAAAAGTTATCAGCCAAGTAGAATATCACAAAATCTCAGGAAACCTTATCCAAATGACTTAAAATGAACCTTGTTTGACCAAATGCTATAATAAGTTGCAACTACAGCTAAATAATACAGCTAAGTACCAGTAAGCTGCAATTTATCACTATTCTTATGTTTAGCTAAGCAATCAAATAAATGATTCTGCTTTCAAACTAACCCTGTAGAAGATCTTATTCGCAATTATAACTCGAGCTATTTTTCTCTCACTGGTGATAGCACATACTGTCATTTGTTCTATTTTTGTAAAGTATGGCACATTTTTACATGATTAAACATTTTCTACTTGTTAAGTCTTTGAGATAATTGCATACATTTGAGCTTGTAATTAGATCAATTTGAAGCTTCAGTTTGCCTTCAAAACTTCAGAACTTTTGCTATTTAATTTTGTAGGATGGTTGCACATGCTATTGATGCATTGGGCCTAACAAAAGGGTCTTCAATAGCAATAGATATGCCGATGACAGTGACTGCTGTTATTATCTACCTTGCCATTGTTCTAGCAGGATATGTTGTGGTATCTATTGCAGATAGTTTTGCACCCACTGAAATTGCAACCAGGCTCATAATATCAAAGGCACAAGCTATCTTTACCCAGGTTCCAACTTATTAGTTTGAATTCATCGCTTTTGTTTTCACTGTCCCCACAATTTGTGCTTTTCTGAATAGATCTGTAATGTCCTACTTTTAGCTTTTTCTTTGAAACATCCACATTTATATTGTGTGCATAATCTTTTCATGTTCCATGCACAATACGCATATAAATACATAAGCATTGTGTGCTATGTATGTAAATTTCCCTTAATAGGGGCATTTACATACATAGCACACAATCTTATGTATTTGCAAATCACACACCTAGATTTTCATATTTACACAAATAACACTTAAATCTTTAATACCACAACAAAAATAGAACTATTACCACTTTTTAAAAGGGAAATCCACCTTTTCATACATAGGTTTGAAGCACCCCAAAGTGCTACGTATAGTGTATCTAAATATGAAAGTTTAGATGTGAGATATGTAAATACATAAGAATTGTGTGCTATTTATGTAAATTTCCCTTAATTTTTTAATTTAGATTTATATTACTAATAATTTACTGTGATTGCATCTCTAATGATGTAACTATTTATCTTTTATAACCATTGATTAGCTTTTTGATCTTGGTTTTTCAGGATTATATTATTCGCGCTAAGAAAGAATTGCCTCTCTATCGGTATGGTTTTCATAGTTTACCTTTCAGATGACACAATCCTGTAGGAGGAACTCTGTTGGGAATCTAGTTTTTATTTCCAGTTTTTGTGCAGGAAGGTCGTTGATGCTAACGCTCCATTAGCAGTTGTTATTGCTACAAGTGGATCCACCATAAAGAGCAGCTTACGTGCTGGTGATGTGTCTTGGCATGATTTCTTGGGGAGAGCTAAACATTGCAAGTATGGACTTTAATTATGTATGTTTCCTATCAAGTGATGAGAAAAGTGCAACAATCTGATGGAGAAAAAGAAGAACAGAAAAAAAAAAAGAAAAAAATATTATGTATGTTTTTATCTTTTTTTTTTCTCTCATGATGACTGCACATGCTTTCTTATATTGTTCATTTGAAAGGTCGCCCTAACCGTCTTAGTCAAGTTTATTTAAGTTTTGTTACACAAAAAGAATGCCCTGGTGCTTATGGGGTTAAATTATGTGCAACAGCCTTCTTGGTTTAAAAGGTATTGAGTTTATGGATGATATGGGCAGATAAACGCTAAGCAAACTTAAAATGTTATGAAAAATTATGAATAGCTGCAGTAATTGAAATATGAAAAAAAAAAAAAATCAGGATTAATGGGCATCTAAAAAACACAAACAAGATTGATGCAGGTTAGGATATTGTTCATTCATAAAAGATCTATCGGAAGCAAACAATTGGAAATAAGAACTACAAGAGCTACATAGCCATGTAGGGAATCTTTGGTTTTCTAGTTTCAATGTGTAATGGAAAATCCTAATCCTAGGATTGCAAACCCTAACAAAATTAAGATGCCACAAGGAGCAGGGGAATGGGAAATCAAAAGAATAAGTCAGAAATAAAAAGAAACAACATTATTAAACTGAAACAATGTTGTTTCTATGCCCATGGTTCCTTCTATGCTCAGCTCTGCCAAGTTGGATGATCTTAGATTGAGCATTGTAGTAGAATTTTCATTCAAGGAGAAATCAGAGGCTAATCATAATATCCATAGGGTTGAAGAAGAAAAGCCCTTATGTTCAAGGGCAGCACTTTGGGATCCACAAGGCATGGTAAACGTTCGTGGTGCTGTACATATTGACAAGAATTGGAAAAATTGCGGAGTAAATTATATTCTAACTTATGTGCCAAATTTGTACAACCATAACAAAGATTCTAATAGGAAAGATGTAAAATCAAGAATAAAAAATTAAAACAGAATTAAATATAGAATCATTATAATAAGTAGAAAGCCCGTAATGTTTCTTTTTACATCCAGGTAGCTCTCATGGATTTGTGCCATGGTAACAGGGATCTTGTGAATCCATGAGATGGTAATGGAGAGGGAGGAAGCTATGAGTCTAGGAGGGCGGAGTCCAAGAATATAATTTAGAGGCGATTTCTCAATAACATTTTTGTACTTCTCCTCAAGGGAATGAATGGATGCCATCCATTACAATCTTACTCGATGATTTTGGTAAGACTGTCTTTGATGATTCTTTTGTGAGTATGTCTACTATTTGTTCATCTTTGGTTATGAATAGAGTACATATTAGATCTGTTAAGTTTTCTTTCATAAAAATATCTATTAGCTTCAATATTTTTTATACGGTTTTGTCATAAAAGATTATATGCAATATTGATATCTAACTTATTATCATAATATTACATTTGAGGACCTTTTCATTCTACCTTTAAATCTTCATAAATAAATCTTTGACTTCATCTATAGTAGTTTACAGGCTATCATGTGTTATTAATACCAATGTTAACCCAAGCAATAATAAGTATTATTATTGAAAAGGCCAATAGGCATTTACGGTGTTAACCCAAGCAATAATAAGTAAGTATTATTATTGAAAAGGCCAATAGGCATTTACAATCAACACATGTGAAGAGGAAATCACAATAGACTCAACACTCAACTCAACAAGGGTTGTGTACCCAAAGGTGGTGGTGGGTTGGAAGGTGGCTTGTGGTTGGAAGGCAGGAGCTTTTGTAGGGAAATTGGAGGGATTGGTAGCAGGTTGGTGTGTTTCATTGGTGGGAAGGTGGGCTGATTTGGGAGAGGGTGGCAGGTTTAGGTGGATGCGGCTAGGAGGTGGGTCTGTAGCGGGGGGAAAGGGCTGCTGTGAGGTGAATGCACACAGCAGGTGGTGCGGTGGGGGAGAGGGATCTGTAGGTGGAGGAATGTTGGGGATATTATAAGGTGGGCGGCTGAGGGTTGTTGGCTTCAGGCAAGGGAATTTGCTGGAAGTGGAGGGTAAAATGAATGACAGGAAGAGTTGGCTGCTGGTCGCAGCAAGGTGGAGGAGCAGTAGGCTGCTGATTCCAGAGGAGGGTAGCAGGTATTGGCGAAGGCGGCTGGAAAGAGGGGACTGCAGGAGAAGTACAGTGAGAGTAAGGAGGATCTACATATGATTTTTATTAATTTAGAAAAAACTTACAATAAGGTTTCTAGAGGAGTTCTTTGGAAAGTTGTAGAAAAGAAAGGCGTTGATATGACTTATATTCAAATCATTAAAGATATGTATACTAGAGCTTTACTTGTGTCCGAACTGAAGGAGGATTGACCAAGTATTTTCATATTTTAGTTGGATTACATCAGGGATAGACTTTAAGCCCATTTCTTTTTACTTTAGTTATGGATGCTCTTACTAGATATTAGATATTTATAGGAGGATGTACCTACCTTGGTGTATGCTTTTCGTTGATGATATTCTTATTGTGGATAAGACTAGCGAAAGAGTTTAGGAAAAAACTTGAATTGTAGAAGTCTGCGTTAGAGTATAAAGGCCTTCGTTGGGTAAGATATAAAACTGAATACATCGAATGTAAGTTTAGTAGTAGTAAATCTAGTGGAAACATTGTAACTATGAGTGATCAAATCATTAAAAACATGTAGCTCAAATGGCGTACATGGTTAGAGAGAGTCATCTTAGATGGTTTGGTCACATTAAACATCAATTATCTGATGATCCGATTAGGAGAATAGATGTTTTAGATTCGACTTATGTTAAGAAAGACATTGGTAGAACTAAAAAGACTTGGGCGTATTGTATAAAAAATGATCTTAATCTATTAGAATTAAATGAAATATGACACTTTATAGGACACAATGGAGAAAAAGGATTTTTGTAGCGAACCCCACTTAGTGGGATAAAAGCTTGTTGCTGTTGCGTACAGTGCATGACAAGGAGCAGAGAATGAAGAATTAGAGACAACAGTGTTGGAAGAGGAGGAACATTTTCATTTTTTTCCACCCTTGAGGATGACATTTTTTTTTGTGGTGGGTGGGGGGGGGTATTGTTACGTTGGTGCCTAGCCTTAGGGCAAATTTATTTTTTGTACGCTTAAGGGCAATTTAGTCTTTTATTATTATTATTATTGAGCATTTATGTCTAGGGTTAGGGGGAAGCATGAGATTGGATTGTGAGTTCTAGTTCTAAGGTTTGGGAGAGATTTCTTACCTCTTGAATTGTAGGAATTATGAGAGATTGCCTACCTCTTAAATTGTAGGTGTTTATCTTTGTATTTTTGCTGAGTTTAATTTATTGAAGAAATATTGTGTTTGCCCTAATTTCTGTGGAAAAACATCTCGATTTTGAGGTCGGATCATATCATAATACAACTCAAACAATGTTCATTTTTGTAATTAGAGCAAATTTTTTAAGGCAATCAATTCCATGCAATTTAGTGTAGCATTTAACAACCACTTTGGCTTTATACCTTTCTAGTAAACCATCTAATTTGCATTTATAATAAAGACCAATACACATTCCACTTATTTATTTTCTTTAGTTAACTTTGCCAAGGCTCATTTCTTATTTTTGTAAAGAGTTTTTATTTACTCTTTTTTAACATTTTTTCTCATTATTTAAAACTTTAGCTATTGTTTGAGGTACATAAATAGCATGTAGACTAGTAAGAAAGATTTGATGTTTTGTGTGAAAGACTTTTGTATGATAAAATTAAGCATGTACATAAATAGCATGTTGGATGTGCTGGAGAAGTTATTATACCATTGTTCATAAGACTTTCTTTAGTTGTAGGTTTAGTTTTTTTAGTGGATATTCTTGCACCATTGTGTCAGCAAATTGGTCATTGTTTTTTCGTTTAATAACTCCGTTTTATTTGCGTGTATACACTATAAAAGTTATTTCTTGAAGTATGAGGATAAATGGTGATTGAATTAGTTTTTGGGGTTGTCACTTAGAGAATTCGTGTAAAAGTTATTTCTTGAAGTACGGGGAGAAATAATAGTTGAATTAGTCCTTGGTGTTGGCACATCTAACTCTTTAATTAAATTATGAATAAATTTTTAGTCATGTTTGTTGACCTCATTTTTGTTGAGGTCTTTTTCTCTTCTTAGAGCCTAGGATCTAGCCTTTAGAGTTTCCTAATGACTCTCTTAAAGAACTTGCTTGGGGCCCACACCGATTAGAAATTCGAGCCACTTCTTGACTCATCGCAGTTTCATGTTACTTGTTCTAAAATTCTCAATGCTTAGTTGAGTCGATTAGAACCAGTGCGACGAAACTCGAGTCGAGTACCCTTAAGATCTGAAACCATAAGAAAACTCATTGCGATCTCCGCACACTTGTAGGATGCACGAATACCACAGTGCGCACAACGACATAATTATCGAAATTCACGTTTCCCGCACCCGTCCGAGGCTTTACGATGGATCACGGGCGATTATTTTAAAGAAATTCAAATTTGATGCGTTTTCGACCCAACCTTCGATGAAGTCGTTCGAACGATCCCGAATTAAGAATCGGACTGTGCCGGCGCGTCCGAAACGTCGAATCTAGTTAGGAAGGACCCACTTCGATATGGTTTTGTGCAAGAGCGAGAGGTGTGCAATTCGAGGATTTTTAAACATTATATATACCTTGGGGAGAGTATGTTTGGCAATATATGACCGATGGGGTCTTTTATTACGGGGAAAATCTTTAATTTCCGCAGGCCTTGCCTGGTTTCGTCCCCAATTGGAGCCCAGGCTCCTCTCGCTTGTGGCCCCTCTTAGCTCCGTCTCCAGGATTTAGCCCTAGTCGTGACTTCCTTCGTGCTAGTCCACTCCCTTCGCGTAAGGAGGAGTTGACTCTTCCCCTCTCAACATCCTCTGCCAAAAAAATCTTCTCTTTCTGAAGCTTTCTGCTTCCTCTCGCTGCGTAGGAGCCCATTCGGGGTAGGTTGGCTGGATGTGTGTGTCCTTGGGTC